CACTGACTAACAATATGAATCCATGTTTGGCTCCAGGCAGGAAACATCTACATAGTGGACTACGAGGTGTTGGAGGGCATCACTGCTAACTGCACTGACCCGTGCACGCTGCAGTACATCGCTGCTCCCATGTGTCTGCTCTACAAGAACGCTCAGAAGAAGATCATGCCCATAGCCATACAGGTACTGTTGAGCCTGTGTGTCCCTGTATCTATGAAGAATATAAACACGAAGCACTTTTTTAGTCAATTTAGGCCTTGTAACGAATTCACCAGCACTTACTATGGTATGATCTTGCTTGAAGTGAATATATCTGCACTTTCCTTGTTGTTCGGAGTTGGAATCTTTATGGTTTTTGCACTTATTGTAAGTCGCTTTGGACAAAAGCGTCAGCTAAATGATATGTAATGTAATGTTATGCTGCATGCAACTGGAACAAACTGCAGGAGGGTCCTAGATATGCACCAAATCTAGCAATTCTATGATTCAGAATGTCTCTTTTTATGTGCTTGTGATGTAGCTTGGCTTTTTTCCAATGTTTTTATCCTATGCTATGTTCCTATCTTTTATTTGTCCTTATGTAAAGCACACATTATCCTGTGTAGAAACTGTGCTATAGACATTTACTCGATGTTGCCATTTCATTACACCTCCAGGGGAAACATTTCAGTATGAATCCATTCCTCTCTTTTTCCTGATTCTTTTCCCCAGCTCGGGCAGACCCCAGGTGAAGACAACCCGATCTTCCTGCCCACTGACGCTAAGTACGACTGGCTGCTGGCTAAGATCTGGATCCGCTCCGCTGACTTCCAGTACCACCAGAACATCACACACCTGCTCCGGACTCACCTGATCACAGAGGTGTTTGCTATCGCCATGTACCGGCAGCTCCCTGCTGTTCACCCTGTGTACAAGGTAAACCTCAGACCCATTAACCAGTTTATCCCAAACCTCCCAACCTATACTTTAAAATAACTTATATTTGGCATTTAATTATTTAAATTATCAAATGTTCTACCCTTATGGTTAACATTTGGTGGGATTTTTCAATTCTCTCATTGTAAATAAAGGTTCAATATATAAAGGAATATTCGGACACATATGATTTATTATTATTATTAATATGAAGACTTTTTTTGTTGAATATATAAATATTATCATGAATGTGGATAAATACTGTATTTTAACAATACGGTATTCTGTTTTTCACATTTGTTATTTTTTATTTGTTATTTTTTTTTAATCTGTTCGAAATAAAGATTGAAATGAAATTGAAATATATAAATGAATGAAAATGTTTTGATTGATGTTCCTTTCTCAGCTGCTTATGCCACACATTCGTTTTACCATCGCGATCAACACCAAGGCCAGAGAGCAGCTCATCTGTGAGTGTGGCATCTTTGACAAGGTGAGTCTGTGGGTGTGGACGTAAAATAATGACACTTTTCTATATTTGTTTTATTCTGTTGGAAGGGGAAATGAAATGCAAAGCAAAAAAGAGGTCTATTTAAGACATATTTGCTGCGAGGAACACAAAGCATTTTATGAGACTCTCAGTTAAAAGCAAGAATGTGCTGAAAAAGAAAGAAAAAGTCCCAAAAAATGCACTTCCTGTTAGGACATCTGTAATGGATACTTAGCCATATGCATACAAAAATAGAAGGACATAAGCACAAATCCTTGGCTGCAGGAGTGATGAGTTACCTGTGTGACGACGCTGTATCTTCTCCATCCTCTTGAAGGCGAATGCTACAGGTGGAGGGGGTCACGTCCAGCTGATCCAGAAGGGCGTGAAGTCTCTGACCTTCAGGTCTCTGTGCTTCCCTGACATGATCAAGGCGCGCGGCCTGGACAACAAGGAGGAGCTTCCCACATACTTCTACAGAGACGACGGCTACAGGGTGTGGGAGGCGACCAAGAGGTGAGGAACAGCACTGATGTGTAGTTGGTGTGTTTAAGGGAGAGGAAACACTCAAACCATAAACAGAGTGGGGTCATTTATGATGGAGTGTAAGGGAGAAGTTGCAGTACTTCCTCTATATGTGACTGCTGCCTTGTTTCCTTTCTGGCAGTTTTGTGTCAGATGTGGTGCATATTTACTACACCAGCGACGAGACCCTGCAGGAGGATGAAGAAATCCAGGCCTTCATTAAAGATGTGTGCAGCTTCGGGATGCAGGACTTCGATTACTGTGGTGGGGTACACATTACACACTTCCTGTTATCTTTTTATCATTGCAACATCATTCAAAATGCAGCAATCTGTTTTTCCATGGAGAGACAATGCTCACTCAACCTTAAATATTGTGCAGTAGTGTAGGTATGCCTGCAGGAGACAGGTACGACAGGTGACAGCATTTCAGACTCAGATCTGTTCTGTCACAGATGAAACGTTTGAAGACAGGAAGCCACAGCAGTCTGATGGTGTCACTGACTGAGCTTCACTGTTGCAATGCCCTTCCTGCATTTCTCCATCACCTGCATTGTGAAAGGATCTTATACAAAGTTTGATTTTGTAAAGATTGTATCTCTCTTTGTCAATTCTGCCCGTGTACAGAGTTTCCCAAGTCCCTGAAAACCCGCGAGGATCTGTCAGAGTATCTGACCGCCATTGTGTTCACCGCTTCAGCCCAGCATGCAGCTGTAAACTTTGGACAGGTGAATAATAAATAATCATGAACCTGACATTCAATATCTTTCAGATTTAAAGCTAGTTAATTCACTGTCATTGTGAAAGACAGGCATATCATAATGTTCAACTTTTCATACAACTTGTATTTTAGTGTGTCCAGATTTGATGTAGGACAATAGAACAGTCAAGTCCATTTCCAATATCCAAATTTGCTGTCATGAATATGCTATTTTGCTAATAAGACATATTAAAAAAAAATAGACCGATAGATGTTTAGATATATAGCTTAACATGATCTGATTTAAATTAAAGTTATATTGTGTGGTCTACATTTTATATCCAGCAACATAATGTATGTTAAGCGTGTGTTCTTTAGTGCCACATAGTGGGCAAAGCAAGTTGAGCAAGAGTAGAAGTGTAAAGAAAATGTTCCTCAAAATACTTATTGAGTACAGTTTCTGAGTAAATGTACTGCATGCACATACTGTATCTCTGTGTACATTGTGTAGTACGACTGGTATTCCTGGATCCCCAACGCTCCGTCTACCATGAGGAAGCCTCCGCCCAACAAGAAGGGCATTGCAGATGTGAATTGGATCATCCATAGCCTTCCTGATCGCGGACGCTCCAGCTGGCACCTGGGGGCTGTGTGGGCCCTCAGTCAGTACCAGGAGTGCGAGGTACTGAAGAAGCACACTCTTACACAGCTCAGTACAGACTGGGTTGTTTTAAAGGTCACCTATTATGTAAAATCCACTTTTTCATGTATTTTATACATAAACATGTGTCCCCTCTGTGTAAAGAGATTCTGAAAGTTTCAGGAAAAAAGATTTGCTCACTTTTTGTCCTGATCCATTTATATAAAAACCTGTCTGAAAATGAGCTGATCAGATTTTGGTCACTTTATGTCATAACGATTTTTTGGCTTGTGTAACCATTAGCCAATCACCAACCAAGGTAACCCCCCCCCCCCACCCCCACCTTATCACCTAAATCTCCTCCTAGAGCAACATTGTGTTCTTTTTAACCAAATATCTCTCAGAGGGGCGTGGGGAGTGGCTCCTTATTTTCATCTAAAGTAACAGACAGAGAATCAGCACTTTTGAAACAGGGCTGAAACAGAGGGGATTATGGGATGCTACAATGATCTGTTTGGTGTTTGGAGCCAAACACTTCAGAGACATGTTTTGTATATATCTGAGACCTATAATATATTGATGAAAAACACTATAATAAGGGAACTTTAAAGGGCCAGCCAAAATAGTTAGATACAGGGTGTTTCTCAATCGCGAGTAAAGCTGCTTCAGAGCCACTATTTCAAGCATACTACGTCATCGAGTGCCGCCGAAGTACTGTTCCAATCTCCAGCATACTTGGAAATCTACCGAGCCCGGCGTACTCCGTTTGGAGAAATATCGAGGCTGCACATGAGTAGACTCCGCGGTCTTAAAATCCCCATAATGCTTTGCGCACGGACCAATTTCCCCAAATCTGTGGCGGAAGATGTAAGGCGGGGCCTCTCATATGACGCACACCTGCACACTTGCTAGCGTGTTCCACTCTTCGTTTTCCGAATGCCAGGAAGTATTCTTGACTCACTTCTGAAGCAAGATGCTCGGCAGACATGTGCTACCAAGCAAGCGTACTCGCGATTGAGAAACACCCACAGTCTCTACACTTCTACTTCCCCTCTACTCCCCATGAGCTTCTCCCCCTGCAGTATGCCCCCTCTGACCCGACTCCCCTCTCTCCCTGCAGCTGTACCTGGGCTCGTATCCTGATGAGCACTTCACAGAGAAGCCTGTGAAGGAGGCCATGGAGAGGTTCAGGAAGCAGCTGACAGAGATAAGCCTCTCCATCAAGACCAGGAACGAAGGGAAGAAGCTGCCTTACTACAACATGTCTCCTGACAAAATCCCAAACAGTGTCGCCGTTTGAGGAATAAAATAATGTCTCAACTTGATATTTTGCCAAAAGCATATTGAAGTTCTGATATTACTGAGCTGTATACTGTATACTGTATACTGATGATGAATGCGTTTAGAAACCTTTTTGTGACCCCAGTGAGGGATTTGATACTTCTTTATATTTAAATGCATAATGTGCTGACAAAAAGTCAATTTTAAAACCTCAAGTTTGCTGATAAACTGTTTTTTGTCACTTATTTGGGTGAAAATGACAGCAATTAAAATGTTTTGATTTAAATCAGCAGTTTGTTATTTTTTTCTGCTAATTTCTCGAGTGTAAAACTGAAGCTTTTAAACTTTTAATCTAATAATAAGGATGCACCATCAACCTTCTCACATATTTTGTAACTTAAAAATCCTGTTACCATAACATTTAAGTTCAGAACAAAAAAACACAAAGCATTAAAAGTAACTTAATTTTTATTTGGTTGTTCTTTTTAATTCTACATACTTTGTTCAATAATGGGAAATTAAACTGAAAACACATCAATATTTCTTTTAAAAACATAAGTACTTTTACCAAATCCTTTACAGTTACTATTCCAAAGTAAATTCACAGACAAACTTGTGGAATGATATAAGACAGGGGAACAGTCATATGTTCAAGTCCAGTCAGTAGTAAACAAATGTGGCTTTATGCAAGTTACACTATTCCCAGACATTAGGAGATGTAAGGTACATTTTGACAGAAATACTGAAACCTTGCCGGTACAGTGAGGCTGAGGAAGTATCTTTCATCCTCAGTCCATGTGCTGCTCAAAAGGATTATAAAATAAAGAAATCCGTTCATGGTTGTAGACACAAAGAAATAAAAAGCAGATTTTAGATGCCCGATGTTAAAGTGTCCTAAAGTGGCCTCAAAACGTCCGTCTCAGACTTCATGTAAGGAGCCAGCTCCTATGAGTAGAAAGTAAAAAAAAAAAAAAAAAGAAGCACAATCTACATCCTTCATTAATCTTCCATCTCAGGGAAAGTAGATATTCCATGTTGTTTCATGCAATACAGGAAACTTTAAAATTTGCACTGCATTTTAATGATTATTTTCTGCATAATTAAAATAATTTCATCAAGCAATCCACATTAAGGTGGAGCAACCAAGCTTTTTAATCTTTCTTATGTTTTTTAAGCTTATAAGTGAATAACAAGGAGTGAAAGTGATGTTCTGGGAAAAAACTGTTAGTGTAAGTTGCATAAAATTACTAATGAATTCTTTTTTTAATGAACAAATTGTACTCTGTTTTCTTTTCAAAATAAATACAACACAAAATGAAGAAATAATCATTTCATACCCAGAGGACAACCTGGACATTAAACACCATTACATAACTATAGAATAGAATATCAACAAAAGGGTAATTGCACTTTTTATCTGTCTAATTGCACTGAGCCTCGCGGGGATCGAAGTTTCAGAGAAGCTTCTCGTTACTAGATCTTAATCCAACTTGACACACAACAACTCCCTCGGCTCATGTTATGTATTTAAAATTATATTAGACTCCAGATCTCAAGTCACTGTGGGGCATAATACACAAGTACAGTATGAATTGTTGCAAAAAACGAAGCGCAGGTTTCATTTATTGCTGCTGCTAATGAGCAGTACTTATCACGTATGTTGTTGGACCATCATTGTTCACAGACAGTATACTGGTATCAAAGATAGTTTTTTAAAAGTGTGTGTGTGTTGCTGGAATGGCTGTGAGGCTCAACATGAGCCTGGCATCGCTGTGCTCCCACATACACTAAAGCACTTACAATGCGTGTAAACCCAAAACACATCGGCCAGAGAAATCATCTGCTGCCTAGCTCAGACTGCACGTACAGCCTCTCACCAGCAGGTGGTGCTGCAGCTCACTGAGGAGAGACGATGCACCCTGTGTGAGTGCATGGCATTGCTTTTACTGCCAAATAAATCTCATTGTTTGTTCATGAAACGACCGAATATGCGACACTGATGCAACAATCTTCTTGATGCTGAAATAACGCATTTACAGTATTTAACATGTGCTTCCTTTTAGAAATGAAAAAAATGTGTTGGAAACATTTGTCTCATTTGAATAACATAAGGCCAGATTTGTGGCAAACGCTCAAAAAAAGGGGAGGCGACATGCTGGCTAAAATGGTCACTCCACCATGTGATTAGTCTGGCAAGAAGAAAGAAGACACTTTAGCTGAAACTGAAACTCCTGCTGTCTGAGATGAATGCTAATGCTGCTTTACGTCACAACACAAGCTCTGTGCAGGAGTGTGAACATAACTGGAGGAATTCATTGTAAATATGTAAGTCATGAAAGCTCCTCACAGTTAGAGTCAGTTTTTGAATCAAATCTATCTATTTGGGAACAATGGATGCACTGTGGGAGCGATGTGAGGACAGACTGAAAATAGGCAGCTTCAGATTTCTCAGGGCACATCCCGTGACTAAGCAAACAAATGAACATACTAAAAACTGCACATGGAATATCACACTGTAAATATTGTGTCAACCGCATGATAGAAAAACATGAGCGGCCCTGTTTATGCCCAAAGGCTTTAGTAATGTTCCCAAGACATGGAAATTATTTCACAATTTCCTGTGACCAGTAGAAAATGTTATTTTTCTTTTTATACATTTCTTTTTTATCATTTAAAAAAAAGTTTACATTCTCAAAGCCTTCAGAAAGTTGTGTTGGGGTAAAGAAGTGATGTGGCTGGATTTTCCATTATCTGCATTAGAGCTTTGAGCCTGACTCATAACTCATATTGTCTATTTTGACTAAAACACTCAACCCCCAATTCCTTTTTTGTCATCCATGGGAGGGTTAATATACATGTATACTGTATGTGTGTATGAGGAAATGTTAAATAAAACAGGAGTTTGAATGTGCTATCCCCCATGTACAACATATACAGTAAGACTTAATTCATATCAAAGACAGAAAAGAGCGAGAAGAAAGGAGGGGGTTTGTTTTGGGAACTAAAAAAAAAACAAAAGTGCTTCGATGCATGTCCAGATCAAGGCCTGCTCGGAGCCGACAGACCACAGCGACACAGATGGCAGTAGCTGGAAAGTTCCAGAGATCCGATGCGTGGCGCTACATACTGATCCACGGGAGGTTAGCCCAACACTCACGGGAGGTAAAAACGAACAAATCCAACAAACCCACGAAGAAAACCACGCATCAGAGACGTGTAGACCTCATGAGCCGTTTGTGAGTCTCTTTGTCTCAGTCCTGCTCGCACAGAGGTCTACATGCAAGTGTGTGTGTGTGTGTGTGTGTGTGTGTGTGTGTGTGTGTGTGTGTGTGTGTGTGTGTGTGTGTGTGTGTGTGTGTGTGTGTGTGTGTGTGTGTGTGTGTGTGTGTGTGTGTGTGTGTGTGTGTGTGTGTGTAGTGAGAGTTATATGCTCCAGGCCTTTTCATACATTTACAGAAGTCAGTAAAACCAGTTCAGTCCTGGGAAAGGAGACAGGTGGGAGTGTAGATTTATGGTGAAGGAGGAGGGAGGGATAAAGTCTGAGCGGAGGAATGTGAACAGAAGAAGACAGATGTGGTCTAGCCTTCTTTATTGATGGAGTTTTAGGAATATAAGATGACCAGAATAGGACAGGAGGTCAGTCTGGGGTCAGAGGAAGGGGAGTGTGTGGTCGTTCCTCAGAAGCCGAGCATTTCTACGATGCTGCTCTTCACTGCGGGCCTGTTTGTGTGTGTGGTGTAGCAGTGGTCAGACGTGGAGCACCTCCATACTGTAGTCCTCTGTCTCTGTGTACTGGGACGAGTTTGTGTCCGACTGGGTGGGAGCCAGAGCCTCCTTGCTCTCCAGACTGGGCTCCATGAGGGGGGGCTTCTCCAGCGCCAGCTTTTTACACATGTCGGGGCGGTTCTGCACGTAGATGACCCGGTTGTACGCCTTGAGTCTCCTCCATAGATGGATGTAGACTTTGCACTGGACGTACATGAACACCAGCCCCCCCGTGAAGCCGATGGCCACCACCACCAGCTTGGTCCAGAAAGGCCATTCCAGGATCCCTGAGAAACAGAGGGAGCACAAGAAGAAACACGGACACCTGTCAAACAAAGACCACACTGAAAACTAATACAGCAAAGTATGTGAACACCACTTGGGAAATAATTGCGTTTTAGTATTATTTTGCATCAATGTCATAACGTTTCCTTATTATTAAGATATTATTTCACTAAATAATGTGTTTCTTGTTCTATCTAACTGTGCAGTGTTTTTATAGTAGTGCTGTTTCTGCTTTTCAAACCATCTTTTGTTTCTTTTTGTTATAATTGATTATTTTACAGACGCACGCTGTTCAGAGTGCAAGTGGATTTTCACACTGTATAGAGGTGTGAAGAAAAACAATATTTTCCTGTCATCTCTCAAATGCTGCTGTCTAATTAAGTCATAAAAATGCCCCCAAAATAATCACATATAACAAAAAGAAACACATGATTGCTTGGAAAGAGAGAACAACACCACTATAAAACTGCAGCAATACTGCAGGCTTTTAAGATGAGCCATTTGAAGTAAATTGGCCAAACCGTGCAAAATAAAATGATATGGTCCCTGAGGCAGTTGCAGCATTTCTGCAAATTGCAAAACCCTTGAAACATAAGGCTCTATGTAAGAGGTAAAAAAACTTGCAATTTGTGGAAGCGTGAATATTTGTAAAAGGCTGCAGCACTGGGAGGCAGAAAGGGGAACTTTAAAAAAAAAAAAACACACAACAAAAAAGGTCTTCTTTGAAATACACCGCAATCTTTTCAGGCTGGCTGTTATATTTCAGCTTCCTACAGAATATGAACGAAGGTAAGGTTCACAATTGAATTACTAAATCCTACACATTTTTTTTATAGTATTTAGTTTATGGAATGAGATACAAAAAGTCCTCAAACTTAGTATAATCAGTATGGTTTTAACTAAGCTTATACAGCTGTATGAAGAGAGAGTAACATGTGATTTATTGTGTGAACATATTTCTGTGAGGTTTGTTTTCACAAAGTCACAAAGTACATCACAGAAGATCACAGCGTGTTGCTGTACTCAGTTCTGTCTGCTTTCATTAGATTTGAACATTCAGTGAGATGGTGTGAAAATAACCGGTCATTAATGGTGAAGAAGTATTATATATATCCTGAAATTAAGGCAGACAGAGGAAGGAAAGGGGTGAAAAGTGCAGTTTGAAATGAACTGGACACAGCTGACAAAAAGGCTGACGAGGGAAAACACAATTTGAAAGTTAAAAGGCCAAAGTTGAAATGTTTACCTGGGATTCTTCCGGCTGCATGAGTAAAGAAAGTGTAAGTATCATGTATTACCAAACACACAAACAGATTGATAGAAATGCGCAGAAATTGAAAGTAAAGTCACATTATACAGTTGGATGTTATTCATCATGCAATCATAAACATCAGCTCTGCAAATCAAAGGAGACAATGGACAACATTTCAGATCTGCTGGTATCTGCACTCAGTCTGAGAGAGGAACACCACGTGGCTCTGTAGGACGGACAGGACTGGTGAGGAGCTCATTGGCATCACCATGGTGATTGAACCTGACAACCCTGGAGACAGTGACAAGTCTGAATCATCAGGTTGGGCACAGCCTGCTCCTCCATCTGCACGCTGTCTCGGAGGCACCACATATGCCAGAGAGGAGTGAGTGGCAGCCGAGGTAGAGCCAGCTGAAGATAAACAGCACCACACTTTGATGATGGCCAAGCTGTCCGAACCTCAGAGCTGCTGACCATTTTGGTCAAGATGGACGTTAGGAGAAGCCAAAGCTCTAAAGGCTGCTGAAGGCTTTTTAAACTCCTAGTCACGTTTTCCTCTTATTCACAACGTTCCAAAAGACCATGATGCCCAACTGACAACTTTACAGTCTGTGGTCAGCGTCAGGTTCCAGTTTGGCACTTAAGACAAAACTAAAGTCAGCTATCTTCATCAAGAATCAGAAAAAACAATGTGCCCAATAATTCTCTAAAAGGGATAGTTTGGGCTTTTGGGAAATATATAGTTTAACAGCAGCTGTTCACTTTTTGAACGGCTGAGGTCCGTGTTTTTAAATTGCTTCACTTGAATTAAATATTCAGATGTTTGTGTGTTTAGACTTGTGTCCAGTTTTTCAATCAACATACATGTGCCCAGCTGGTACTAACGGCTGTCACATTATGATTCAGGACCGTACGTCTGTCACATTTTACACACATACACTGTGATCAGATTCGAGCAAGAATACACACACACAAACACAGAGTTATAAAAGCAACCACACAAACTTCAACACACTTTTATCCTTGTGAGGGCCTTTTGTTGACCTTTAACTTAAGGCAAGCCATACACACGAAACCCTAATCGGAGCAAAATCACCTGACCTTGCTATAATAACATCACCATGAAAGTCTCAATCTCAAATTGGATCTCAAGAAAGTTAGGACATCCATCATTCTCTTTTATGGCCTACGGATCATCTCTTAAAGAATCTCAGCACACTCTTCTACACATTTTTTCTCGACTTTGATGCCCACTGAGCTGCTGCAAGGGAATTACGCCCACATATACTCCAAGAACATTAAAAGAGAACATTTCACACCATTTGCACTGCTGAAATACCACTAGAGCTATGCAGATTCATCATTAAATACTATACATAAATGAGCTGGATTGTGGATGAATGGACGATTTCTAACAACACTACATCCAACAGTCAACAACGTTACGTCAATGTTTTTTTGTGTTTGTGTGTGTGTTAGTCTGTGCTGACCTAGTTTGATTTCCTCCGCTGTTCTGTCGATGAGCACGTAGAGCGACCACACCACGCAGGTGATGGCGATGACGTGGAAGGTGACGGAGCACATTATCTTCCTCCTCTCGCTCGCCGTCATCTGTAGCTTCTCCCACTGAGGCACATACAAGGGGGGACCAAAGGAAGGACATTCGAGGAGGTCAACAGTGTGTTCACACAAAGACACAAGGTTGCAGACACACACATTTAAAGGTAGGGTAGGTAAGTTTGAGAAACCGGCTCGAGATACACTTTTTGTTATATTCCATGGAATGCTCTTAACACCCCGATAGCAATGAATATCTGAAGTGCTTTGACAAAAAATCCCTTAAAAAATGTCATCTGTGGAAGCCGTAGTACTGTAAAAAGCACGACCAATCATTTTAGCCGGCCCGGCTAAAATAACTGGATGGCCTACCTGCCTGTCAGCCTTCCATCGGGGCACAAACTTATCTCGTGCCCTCATTGGTCATGTGCGCGTTCGTGTGTGTTGGAGGAGGGGCTCTATAAGGAAGTGGCAGATTTTCTCCGGTTGTGTATTTTCAAATTCTAGCGATCTCGAGCCGGTTTCTCAAACTTACCTACCCTACCTTTAAAGCATAGACATTTGAAACGACAGCTAAAGACACATCTTTTTAGATTTTTATTAGCAACCCCCCCCCCCCCCCTTTAAATGGCCTTTTAGTCTTTATTATTAACCTACTTTTATATTTATTTTATAGGTCTTAAAGGGTTTTATCTTATATTATTTATTGAACAGCAACATTTCTTTTATGCATTTAAAAAAAATATATATTTGAATCGTTAAACATTTATTAGAATTATGACGTTTTTATTACTATTATCTTTTTATTTTTATTTCTGTTGTACCTTTATGTTGACTTTATTTTATAGGGTTTTATATTGTTGCATCTATTCACTTGTCTTGTGTCTTATCTTTCTGAGATAAATCATTATTTATTTTATTGTATTTTATTTTCTATTATCATACCTTTTACCTCCTTGTGTCTCTTAACCTGTTCAAATGTTATATTTTGCTGCATGTATCTGTAAAGGTTTTAACATCTCATCTGAGGGGAATTTGTTGTTTATTTTTTACTTGTGATGTGTGCCATTTTGTAAAGCACTTTAAGCTGCACGTGATGTATGAAAAGTGCTATATAAATATAGCTTTATTATCGTTGGCTTTCTTTTCTGGAATATGAGGGTGAGGGAAATATTTGATGGAGAGCGTTCAGCAGCTTCTGTTTTCAAGAGCCAATGCTACATTACATTTCTTGCCATGGCGAGTAACACTGATAGGAAAAGATGCTTCGTGTCTGCTCCTGGTTTCACAAAACAGCATCAGGAAATGAGCCCAGCGATACAAAGAAACAAAAATAAAATACGATGCCAACACCATCAGATCAGTTATTTTAATGGGTTCTATCGCTTTTCCATTATCCCAAATATATTCCTCATGTGTTCAGTGATGTGGGTCAGTTTGTATGGAAGCTTGCATACCAGTGCGAGATAACACTTAGCATCCTCTGATAACTTTTCATCCCAACACCTACGTCCTCATCTCCCCTTCGCTCCTCACACAACTTAAATCTCTTAGTAGGATTCAGAAGCTATTACCAGCGGAGCATTTGTTTAAGGTGCTTTTGTGCAGCTAATGGAGGGTGGAGGAATTTTAATTAATGTCCTGCTATCTCCAGGCCACAGCGATTGATAAGACCCTTTAATGGGAGTGCACTGCCTCCGAAACATTTTTGAAATGAAACAGCCACCCCCTCAAACAAGTCCGGCTAATGAAAACCGCTTCAAAGCTCAGTGTCATTCTTGTGTTATCTGCCTGACAGAGTGGAGGCAGCTCTTGGAGTTTTTTTCAACTTCATAACGAAGGAGTGACGTGAGCTAAGTTGGGACACTTGGAACAGCCTGGATTTATTAACTGATGCTAAACTAATGAACGTGAAATGATTGACTGTAGACAAAAATCTGTGTGTTACCTTGCGCAGCGGTTTGAGCTTGGTCTCCATGATGAACTCATATTTACAGAGCTCACAGCAGCGCGTGTCGGAGCTCTTGATCCACTGCTGCAGGCAGGACTGGTGGACGAAGCGCAGGCTCCCCGTGCAGTGGCATGGTGTGATCAGAGGACTCTCCTCGTCACCTTCACAGTGACAAATCCTGCGGGAATCAAAGAAAAACAGTCAGCGCTAAGCTAGAAGAAAGACAGCTGTTATTGGAGGAAAACAGAAGTGACGAGAGATATAAAAGAGAGAAATGTTGGCAGGCAGAGCAGATGGAAACTCTTGAGTTGAGTTTGGGAAGATATTTAAGTAACCTTAGACAGGTGGGAACATTTCACATATTTGAAGACTCTGAACGCAGAACACATTGCATGTCCCTCAAGAATGAACTCAATCAGGAGAAACTCATTTGATTTAAAGCACTTCATTTACAAATCAAAAGGACATTTTACAAAATAACCTACCTTATTCCCACAACGTCGCAGCACAAAATTGAACACAACAAATCTAATCTCAGATAGATTAGAGTTGTAGCCGCAGCAATCTTAAATCTCGGTGCTTCAAGGACTGATACAAATTGCCTGTATTGATGACTATGTTAGGCAATATAATCAATACACATGGCATCCAATACATCAGTGGTTCCTGTCCTATTGTGTTAGACATACTCTAACATCCCTGTGAGATGAACTCAGGTAACCCATGGCCATTCCCTTATGTTCAATGTGTTCTTATAAAGGGATTTTGAACTAGGGTCATTTTAAATATAGTTTGTTTTTCATACTATTTAACGGTCAATATTAAGGGTTCTTTGATCAAGTTAGCATGTTGACAAAAAAGACCACAAACACTACTATTTTGGAAAATCAATCACAATTGCTGGAACATTCGATTAGGTTCTCTGTTACCTCTAAGGAATGCTGCATGAGAGGAACCAATCAGATTTTAATATCACACCGGAGCACCCCCCCCCAGATGCAGAGAGAAGTTGCTCTTCTTTCTGGGAATAGATGGACAAGTAAACAAAGGAGAAGAGAGCAGGTGGTTCGGATGGGTTTGTCCCGGTCAAGGGGGGGATAAGAAGAAGACATGAAGACACACATGCACACCCACACCCGCCACGCATGTTATTAAGTGAGCGAGCAAGATAACATCTATTTCCAAACGACACTGATCTGGCCAAAGCGTTACAAGATTAACGACAATGTGAAGAAGAAGAGGATAAGAGCATGTGGAGATCTAATAGCCGCGTTCACACCGGAGCACTTTTCACCGTACTTTTCGCGTTTAGTTCCGTGAGTATTGTCAAATAGTGGAGAGAGTGGAACGAAGACAGAGGGATTAACGGATTGAGGAAGCAAAATAAACCTCTCATGGTGTTTTTTCTATTGGTTATGGCTGTGACTCTTTGTGGTAATTTGCATAGATCAGAGAAGATCAGCAGATTCTCTTCCCACCTCTTTCAAATAACACAACAAAAGCCAGCCTGAGGACCTGGACTCTCTCACATCAAGGGTTGGTGCGTGCTGAAATGGGAAGATTTGAGAATCTTTTCTAATGTTGATATGGATGTTTATTTAAAATGTAGGAGGGAATGAGAACAGAAATATCCCTACACCTCCACATAAAGCCACAGTGGAAATCAAATGATCAGTAAACAACATGAGTGGAACAGGATAAGGGATCCTGAGTAATGTATGCTTCATGCAAGATGCCTGCTAGGTTGACACTAAACTGCTTTAAAAGATACAAACCTTATAAATAGAGCACAAGAAAACAGCTTTGTCATTTGAAGTGTACTTTATCCATTTGACAGAATAATCCAGAACAGCTAAATGTACTGTGTCTGTGTCGGCAGCAGCACTATCAGGTATGGGAAGGGGAAGGGGAACATTTAATTTGCACGGCTTTAGCAGCCAAAACACACCATGTTTTACAGTCATTTAAAGATGACAGAGAATTCATAACATTATGTTAAGATTCAAATCTGAGAAGCAAAACAAAATCAAGCAAGCACCACAAGAGAGGGAAACAAGTTCGGCGACATAACTGCCCTGGCGAGGCGCTCACTTTCTTCCTGTTCACTCTTGTCTGTTTCCTGGTATTTCTCCTGTGGCATTTAGGCAATCTATTAACTCTTCACCTGCTCAATTTATTGCTTTAAACCGCCACCAGCCCCCCCCCAATCCCCTTCAGCAACTCCTTGCTCTGCCCTTGTCCTGAAATGTTTATTCATTTTACAATTAATTATGAACACCATCTGTTTGTTTGTGTTTCTGCTAAACAGATTTTCATGGGGCTTTTCAGGGGGCAGTGTGATATCTGAGGGGTTTTGTTCTCCTCTCCTTTCTCAGCCAGCATTCAGTCACATCTATTTAAGAAATACACATTTTAAGAGGCACCACCACAGGAACCCATCCCCCCGTTTACTCTTCTCTGCTCTCTGCATGCCTTTAGAGGTCACTTGCCTCTCTCTCTGCGGCGATGCTTACTTCAAAAGAGAATATTACATCCGCTGAGATTGCTGTATTGTTAAATGTAAAAGCTCGAAGCCAGCAGTGGAGTTATATGGAACTATGTTACTGTATCTGTTCTGTAAAATAACATTGTTCTGTCTGCCGCTCTACTAGTACATGCTTGAGGCCCAAAGAGGAAGACAATGATAAAGAGCAGAGTGTGCAAGTCTTCAAATACTTAAAACAAGAAGGATAGACGGAGCAAGAAGCAAAAGTGATTCGAAGCTAATGAACGTAACACTGACTGCAATTCTTACTTTAAAGGTTGTCCATGTCTATCAAATGAATGGGGGGTTAAATGACACCTGGTTAATGCCACTCTGCTGATACACAGATGTGTTAATTACCAGAGAAACATGTATGAATACAATTACTACAGTTGTGTATATATATATATATATATATATATATAAATGCAATGCATGTTTTCAAAGTATTCTCCGAAGCCAGGAAATATAAAATGAGAAATGAAATGCATTCACAACGTTAGCGCGGGAACGCCTACCTTTAAGTTTCCCTCAAATGTGACCTTTCTGAGATAATGTCACTTCTTCAAAGGCTTCCAATCATTACTTTCTGAAATGTCAATGCAAGAGCTAGCTTATAATTAACATGGCATTCCTCTGTTCAAAACAACAGCCTGCGAGCACCCCGACAGCTCAGGTCAGGCTCTGAGCTCACGCCAGGCTCTGAGCTCACGCCACCTGACAGAAAGCTCCCACGATGTGTGTTTGTGTGTGAGGTCAGAGACTGCCAGGCTATTTGAAGCCAATAATCTGCCTCCTGATCTCTGATCCTGCTCACCTTGCCAAATCTAAGCTCATGTTTCTCTCTCTGCACACAGCTGACGTTCAGTCCGATGTATAATCTGGACTGAACAACGTGCACAGACCAAAGTGTAGAGGAAAAGAAGAAACTAATGTATAATTGACATTAAGTGTTTCAGACCTATCAATCAATTTCTACAGCTGCAAGGTCAAGTATCAACAGACAGATACTGTAACCCTGAGCGTCCAAACTGGATCTATGTAGGGCTCAAAAGGTTTTTCTTGGCGACTTAGTGAGATCTACTGCTAACACACTTCACCTGTAGAGATCAGGAAGGCATGACCTGGTCTGTAACACAAATATTCTTTACAATCTGTTCTTCCTTAAATAGCCTGGCCTATCAGATCGCACACAGACAGTTAAGTGAAAAAGACTGATCACGGCCGTCCATCACAGACTCCATAGGATCCACATTTATTGTGCTGCTTCTGCTTCACTATTTCTCAGAGGAACTAACACTCCTCTGACCCTCTATCTTTTTCTTAACATTGTCATTGCCCCCTATTCCCGCCTCTACTGCAAAGATGACAGCTTACGGGCAAAATCAATCGCACATTTTTGCCAGGCTATGTAAGAAACTTTAAAGTTTCATCGATCTCTTAACAGAGAAAAATGATTTTAAAAACAGCACAGTGAAGGACATGAGATAGTGGAATGAAATTATATGAAATGAAGTCATATTTCTGCTATTAACACAAGATAGGGGTTGAATCAGGACAGCTTATGGTGTTGTACTGTGCATCTAGGTGTCAGCTCCACTCCAGACAGGGGTTATTAATACAAATACTGCTGTGGTGTAGGATATTTGCTGGGTGGTTACACGACAGGATGAGAGGCTCTCCACTACGCCACAGGGCTCTGGGGTTCACTGCCACGGCACAGGGAGGATCTGGGCTCTACCAACAGGAAGGGTGGGTGTGGATTATACCATCCAGACAGTCACCCACCTGCACCAGTCTCCAGAAAGCGAATACGGTGACAGTGGCCCATTTTTCTCTGACAAGGGGGACGAGCAGCAGTCCAAGTCGCTGTCTGGGTCCATAAAACACAGGGGGGCTAGAAGAGAACCTGACCCATCCACGGTGACTGTTAATGGGGCGCCCAGCTGGCATGTTCCCCTTGTAGCTAGGCTGTTCCGGTCCTCCTCAAACACATCGTCATCCCCCAGCAGATCCTCCACGTGGAACCCTAACTCACTGCCTTCCAGCGGGGAGGACTTGAAGTGGATGTGGGAGTCGTTGCTGCCCAGCTCGGAGCAGTGCAGGCTGGCCGAGGTGGAGGATCGAGAGAAGGGAAGAAGGAGACGCAGGAAGTTGGCGCTCGGGGAGTGATGAGGGTGGAGGTGGTTGTTGGAAAGAGTAGGAGGAGGAGGAGGAGGGGCGATGGTGACCGGGTCAGGTAGGGGACAGTTGATGGGAGGGACGCCCAACATGTATTTGTAGTTGTTTGTAAAGGAGGGGATGAGGTGGGGGTGGGGGTTCTGGTGTGTGGGGGCTGCAGCCAGCTTGCCGTTGAGTGTGTGCGCCCTTCGCTCCGCGCCTGGTGGCATGGCAGGCTCTGGCTTGGTCTCCAGCTCCCCCTCGGAGCAGGTTCGGTCTATGAAGTGGAGGCCGCGACAAAGACTGTCCACACGTTGGCCCACGTCATTCAGAGACATAGAAAACTTGAGCGAGCCGCTTGGGCGGAGGTTTGCGGAGGATGGGCGGAGCAGGGAGAGCCAGTCTCGTTGTTTGGCCTGTTTGGAGGCTGGTAGGGCGTCCGTGCAGAGGGTGGCCACGGAAATACCTTCTGAACCATGATAGCTTTTACCGTTTGAGTTCAACAGAACCACTGCAGTGTGCTTCTGACAGTCCTGATCCTGACTGCTGCTGTCACCGTGTTTGTGCATGTGCGTTTATGAAAGAGGAACATGATTGAAGATGGCGGTGAGGACAGAAGGAAAAGGAATGATAAAAGACAAAAAAAGAGAAATGGAAAAGACATCATGCATTTGGAAACATAGGAGCTTATACAAAAGGAAATACAACGTTTTGTGGACTGACAACACTTGTGACCCATGTTTATATATAACCCATTTTACAGCAGGTTACACGAAAACAGGGCTACTTCAAAAAGTGTATTGCTCAAGGGTAAAGGGAAAGCATCATCTACTGTTAAGGTTCTCCAGCAGCAATGGACTGAAAAATAGATAGATGTATTGCCCTTGGGTGTTTATATCACTTTGGACACAAATGACATCATTGGCTGTAAGAAATGAGGATGTTTGTACCTGCAGATGTCCTGGCTGGAGGGGGAAACTGATGTCCTCGAGAAACTGCATGGAGCGTTGACTGAAGTCGGGCTCCCTGCCTGTGGAACAAAACAAAGATATACCTAATAAAAAAACGTCTGAATGATTTTAGAGACAGGATCAGATCAAATTGCCTGTGTTCACTGGAGAGAAATGATCAGTGTGCGAATATGAAGTTTACAGAGAGAGTAAAAGTGCGCCACGCCCTGATGCAAAGGATGATAAAACACAAAACTGGCAGTGAATCTGTCTGATTAAAGTAGTGCCAGGCAAAATGTGTCTCAGTGTGTCTCAGAGCAGGCGAAACACCAGGCTGCTGGGGAGCAAAGCGCTCAGGAGACAGACAGCGAGACAGAAGCAGAGTTATGAAGAATGAGGAGCTGAGAGAGGCACAGCTGGAGGACATGAGGCTGTGGACTCATTCAGCATCCACAGAGGGGTTTTAAACAGATGCTCCTGCAGGTACAAGGATGTTATAATAAAGAAAAAACACCCTTGGCATTATCTAGTGTAGCTTTCACTTCTAAAGCTGGAACAAGGAGTGACTACTGGAAGGTTTTGGACAAAGTGAGGCAAGCTGTTCCCCCTCTGCTCCCACTATTTAGGTTCTGCTATTTACCAAATAAGTGTTGTATCTTTCTCCCCTTACTTTCAACAAGAAAATAAAAACCAAGCATATTATACAAAGTGTTAGTACAATTGATCCAATGACAGCATACAGAGTGTGTACGGTGGGACGGTAAAGAATGGTAGCAGATGGTGTTTGGGTTTCTAACGTAAAGACACGGGAGGCCGGGTTATTTCAATAAGGAACTAATTACCTATTGATTTCATTTCAAACTAAGGGGACATTTATAGCTCGTGGCCTGACACCAATCCATAGAAAATCCATCGTCCACAATATGCCCTTCGGCCTGTTTCTCTGAGCACAGCTTTAACCATCTTTTTTCACACCAACATCCTCCACACTTTTTGATTTCTTTAATAGTTCATCAAGGGTTTCTTTAGATTTTCCGATTTTAATAGTTGACATTCAAGGCTGCTGTTTGGGGCTGCTGCAGGCGTCTGGAGTATAAAATGAACAGACAGCTCTAAGAAGTGTGTGAGGAAGAAAAAGATTAGATCAAAGTAATAAAACATTATAATAGCAAACAGCGCTATATTTAACCGCAGGCTGCTTCAGCTCTACACCTTCTACAAAGAGGGACACATGCAGAGTTCAAGCATCATTTGACTGAAATCTGAGTGTACATTGATCCAAAAAAAGTAGATCATGTTTACACTGACAACATTGAAAAGTACCTTTATTCCTTATCTTTATTCTTACTGAGTAAATATCCCAGAGCTGCCTTGCCTCTGTTAATCATTTGTGTTGCCAACTGAATGGCAGATTGATTCAGGCTCAAACAGCAGAGATGATAACAGAGTGGAGATAATAATGATTAACTTCTTAACGGCCTGCACCAGTTCAGACATCTGCTCTCTCATAACTGCCCTCTCTTATGACAAGGACCTTTGATGAGGGAATGAGTGTCGGCGGCGAGTTATGGAGCACCAAAACACTGTGGGAGATGATTTCTCAACAAGTGCTGGAAATGTGTGTCAAGTGGTCATATTTTACTTTAGAAACTGTAAACTGTGAAAATTAGGATTATTTTCAGTTTATCTAATCAGTCCTTGTTTAATTTGTGTCTTTGGCTCTGTTGTGCTAATTAGATGTAATCGTGGCTCATATCCTGTTCTCCCTGTGATTAACTGTTTATTGTGCTTGGATACAGTCTCTCCACTCTTTATCATAACTGTTTATTTAACCTCTCTCCGGTAGCGCTCCCACTCGCTTCAGCCATGCATAAATCATCTTCTTTTACACTATAGTTGTAACTTCTTCTGCTCCTCAGCCTTCATTCTCCTCTCCCTGATCCACCTGTACCTTAAGGAGAACTATACCTCTCATTTTCTAGCTATAGGGGCCTTTGAAAGAATAACCTTTAAAATCCAACAGCAACAATGAATCACTGCCTCCCCGTGAGAAATGTCTTGCACATAGACCGCGTGAATGGACCAGATGTTAACAAATGTCAAAGGAAAAGCATCAAAGAAGATAAACATCAACACTGACCTTGAGAACAGTACAACATCCTCATCAACATCACTTTCGGATCATTGTAAATGTGACACTGCCCACCTGTTATGTTAGTATATTATTAAATATCATATTTCCTGTATTAACTTAGGGATGAATAAGGAATAAAGGCATTTTTCACCAAAAGCATTTTGTTGTAAAGCCATTGAAGTCTGGATGCCATGAGGGTCAGAGCCAGCTTCAGTAGAAAGCAGTAAAAAATGAGCATCGCTGCCAGAAAGAGAAACCCTGCCAGAGGAAACTAAACAAACCAGAATGTGTTCCAAAACATTAATAATCAACTAAACAATTTTTTTTAAATACTGGCTTTGCTTGGCGCTTGGTATCAACATCAGTGGTCTGCCAAGCTGAGCGGGACAGCAGAGATCTGGAGGACAGACCTGGACTGTGCTCTGCAGCAATGGAGCCTGAAACAGCAACACTATAGGAGCTTGAATGGTAGAGCACCACCAGATGTTTGGCTGACTCTCAAACGCAGCGTACTGAGCAGTGGGTCGTTGCGTTGTGTCTTTATGAGGATGTAATAGTTTAATTCCTTCCAGAACAGTGTAGGAGGCATCGCAGCGCCCTTGGCCCTCCGCTGCAGAGAGACACGGCTACAGCTAAAGCCTCCTGACCTCGCCAAGTGGAAAATCAACTCTTGCCAAATCACCGGGCAATCATCAGCCGCTAAAGCTTTCAGAGCTGCTTTAATATATACCACACTGACCGTTTTTTCTAAAAATGCTGATTATTGCCCTCCCTCAACTTCACCTTTCTTTCACAAATCTCCAGACAGAAACAGCTCGATAAGAGACACCTTCTGAATACATGAGTCAATGAAAGAAAAGTACACATAAAAGGACTGTAATGAGTTATTGGCATTGGCTCACATATATATTTATATTGAAGACCATGCATGCACCTTAATCCCTCAATATCACATTTATGAACAATTTACGCCTGGTCTAAATGCTGAGGCTTGTTTTCTTTTTTTGCTATGATAACGTGCAATTACGTATCTGCCACTACTAAATACTGGTAATATTTACATTAATTATGTGACCGTCTATGTTTCGTGTTTCTTGTAGAAATGTAATTGCTCTTTTTACTGCACTTTTAGTGTACAGTTTTACTATTATGTTGCTGTTTTTATTGTATTTCTGTAACTCTGGCAAAACAATTTCCTTCGGGATAAATAAAGTCTTATCTTATCTGTTTTTTTTATATATCTCCCTCTCTGTCTTTCTCATGACAGGTTTTCCAGTGAGTTAACTGGAGAGTGGATGTGTTATGATTCATCCTTAAAGAGGACACATTTGTTAATTTGAAAAAAACATCCAACAGTTCAGTGACTGTCTATAACATAAAAGGGACCCGAAGTATCCTGCCAGGTATCAGTATAAAACTAGAGCTGCTTTGACAGAAACAAATTACTCTGATGTTTGAGTTCCCATACAAAACCATCCAGACTGTAATGTGAGGCCAAGTTGGGGATGTTCCTCTCAGGCCGATGCTGTGGTTATTTATGTAGAGAGATATCTTTTAAGTAGGTCAACAATTGTGGATACGAGCACATTTTTTGATTTGATCTGACACGAGCGGATGTGATTCAGCTTGAATCGGAGCCATGTGAAGCAAGGCAGGGTTTGTTGTGGTGTCCTTATTCGAGTCTGGCTGCAGCTCATGTGGAAATGAATGAAAACAAACACGTGTCAGTCCAAATCATTTATTTAACGCTCATTAGCGGCGGCACGTGCATAACTTAAATTAAGTTCTTATCAGCTGTACATTTAACTAGGATTATTACAACTGCCATTATCTTTCATTATATGGAGTGTACTTGACCTACATTTTGTATTCTTTCAGCAAAGGGGATGGTTTCACTTCATGTTCATCGTGCAGAAAGCTGGGAACAGCATATATGCATGAAATAAACTTCCGTAGTCTCTTAGATTATATTCTGATTCAAGCAGCTTCCACGGAGAATGGTTTCAGGAAGGAGAAAATATATAACACATCCATAAAAATGTATTTTCTGTCAATAGTTTCAAGAGGACTTTTTCTATTTCCCGTAGGTTTTCAAAACAGATCTTGTGTTTCAAAGCTTGTAACCTTTTCCATCAAAAGTGACTGATGTTAAACTGCCATTCTTCTACCGCTGAGATTTCTGGCAGACTTGTGCGTCCAGAGAACAATTAATACAGATTTAAAACCAGCCAATAATTTGTGTTTCCTTTTAGGAGTGAGCAGGAAACACCAGGTGGCAGGTAGATTGCTGGTTATTAATTAAAAACTGTCAAACTTAAGAGCCTTTTTCATACTTTATGTCTATCACTCCATGACACACACATTTGTCAGAGAAATGGCGCTCCATGAGGAACATTCAATGCACAGAAACAAACTAATTAAATCCAACCCTCTATTTACGCATGAGAATACCTGGCACTATCATTTTGGGCCATATTGTGTGTGTGGAAAGCAAAAGCAACCAGAGAAAAACGTACTGACTTCTATGATTCTAGACTTTACATTCAGTTGTGTTGTTCAAATTAGACTGAATGTTTGAAATACCAAGTTTTTTTCAAGCCATGTTGAGAGTTGATCTGTTTCAACTCCATTAAAATACCAAACCTACACTTTCCTGTCACAGCAAATATAATTTGCCGGTCCGACAAATATAAACTCAGCCAGCCCGGCTCAGTCCAAAGGTTGCAAAATCTGAATGCAAACACCTCTAAAGCTCACCAATTAACATGTTGAATCCATGGTTGAATCTTGTATCTGAAGAAAAAAATCTCTATTTGCCATTTTATCAGCTACCAAAGGTCATGTATTTAGAGCTGATAACTATATTTAGTTTTATCGCACAACTACATCACATGATAACAAGTTTATCATCTCATTTTTTTTGTATTGTAAGTGTAATTAAATACTACATTTGTCCATTGTAAATATTTTAAATTTGAAGTTGGTTCAGCTTTGACAGAGGTTTTACTTTTAACGATTAAATCAGTGGTAAGATAAGATAAAATACTTTCCTTTAAATAATAATCCTTTATTGATGCCCATTGTGGTCTTGCAGTAGCACAAGGAGGTACAGATACATAGAGAAAAGTAAGAAAAATACATATAATAATTGAGTCTATTTAAGTCTATAAAATAACAATAATTAAGCAATAGCTCCGCTTCGCGTCGGGCCGAACCACGCCCCTTAGCTGTGATATAATGAGCATATACCACGGCCTGAAGTGAGGGATACTGAGTTGTTGTGAAAAGTAACTTACAATTCTACCCGTGGTATACGCTCAGTATACCACGGCTAAGAACCAATCAGATTGCTTGATTTTACTTGTCCGTTTTATAAGGAAATATAACACACTGTACAAGAGTATTTCAACTCAGTGGTGCAGAAATTGTAGAAAATGTAGAACATCTTTGATATCCAGACATGACAGATCAACAAAGAGATTCCACATGCACAAATAGAGATTTTTACTTTAAACTTTGATGATTTTACTTGCCTTAAAGTGTTGTGTCATGATTCTGTGTATTAAATATCAAATTACTCAGTGTAGGTATAAAAGTCTTACTTAGTTTTTATGCAACCACATCTAGTACCTGTATCAAATTTAACAAAAGTAAATTGTAAGTTTATTCCAACAGATTAAGCAACAATCAGTGATTCAATTTAAGTAAAGTGGTTCTTGTTATAGTATAGTATGTACAGTAGCCACACATTATTCACTCTAGACTGGGAGTTACACATAAGGCAACAGTATTTTAAAGTTTGAATATAGGGTTTATATTTGTCACTCAGGTGCATGAATTTCCATTTCCCTAATGTTTGAAGAGTGACCGGCGTGTGGATCAAACATTGTTGCAGGAGCGGTCCCATGGTAATGATCTGACCCTGACATCTATTAGCTCAAGTACAGGGTTTATCCGATTAGAGGCTCAGGAGAGTGAAAGCAGAGAGTCAAAGCAGAGTGTATATTTTCCCGAGGGAGCAGGGAAGAGGTGAGTGAGGAAGGAGAGGGTGAAATAGAGAAAGACAGGAGCCACTGATGCCCCTTCCACACCAACGTGGTTCCCGTTCTAGCTCAGTGCTAGAGCTTTTCTGGTTCGGAACCGGTTTTTCTTTTCAGCCCCCGTTTTGTTCACACCGCCGAGAGCCCGACTGGTGCTGCCGCTGCTGCGTCATGACGCCACCGTTTACGTTGCTGATTTTCTCCCCAACTGCGTCGGGTCGATGATCGTGTTGCTTTTAATCATACGAAGCCAGATTAAATTAAATAACTACTTCTCAACCCTTGTACTTTTCTCCAGAGTGCCGTGGTTCATTGTTTATTAATTTGTTCAGCGGCATTTACCGACCGCTGCAGTGCTGGCCGCTGTTTGGCATCACAACGCTGTTATGAACATTTCTCTGGTATAAAATGGGTGATGCTAGCATAGCAACCGAAGCTAAACTGACTATCTTGACTACTTGTTGCTATCCTATTGTGGCATAAGCGTATTTTTCATTATGATTCTACTTGTGATAGTCGGACATGAGTCATGACAACCTGTGCAGCCCATGTATTGATTCCATCCGATAGCTGCTATAATACAAAACAAAACGTCTGCCTGCTCTCCACAATGATCAATGACAGCGAACGGATGGTCAAAGTAAGGTACAAATAAACAGAATCACAATAAGCCTGGTTAGTGTTGCCTGACTTATTAAGTAAGTTTTTTTTTTTTTTAATAAGTGTGTGGTTGCCTTCTAGTCACTTTGGTCAGCGCTACTGCTTGTTACAACTTTCATTTGCCGTACTCGCCATAAACTGTTATTGCTCAGGTTGATCCCGCCCCTGCCCCCGCCTCCGACGTAAGCGGTTCTTGCTTCTAGACCGAACATTTTTTGGAGCTTGAAAAGCACCGGGTTTCGGAGCTTAGAGCCGGCTCCGCTGCGGTGTGAACAGGAAAAAACGGTGCTTTTCAGGCTCTAGCTCCGAACCGGCCCTGGAAACGCGTTGGTGTGAAAGCCCCAAGAGAGAGAGAGAGACTTCCTGTCTGACAGAGAGCCACAGGGAGCGGAGGTGTGAAGCCAAGTCTGCTCTCTGGAGGATGATCAGCGGGGCCCCACTGATTGGGATGATGTGATTCAGGAGTGGCAGGTTATCTATCATCTACTCTCTCTCTGTTTCTCCTGTCAATCTCCACCTTTCTTCACAGCACACCTCCGTCCCCCTGTCTTTCTGTTCTCTCACTTTTCTTTCTTTGTGACAGAGGAAAGCCATACATCATTCATTCAAATTGCTCCTTTTTGTGTGTGCTTTTCTCACCTTTGATATATTGCTGGACCGGCTTGCAGAATGCCCCAGGGGCTTCTCATTCTGAAAAAGAGAGAAGAAGAAAGACAGCTCAAGTGGGTGCTAAAAACTCATGCAGGAACAGAACAAAATGCTCATAATCCACACATGCATTCTGCACAGTCAGAACTGACATTCGCCATATTAGCCGCGTTCACACCGCAGTACTTTTCCCACTTTAGTTCAGAATAACTGCATCACACTGTAATGAATGGTGCTGTGTTTGAGCATTTGAAACCAAACATACATCAACAGTCTGTTACAGCAACAACTAATATGCTCACCATTACAATGTCAAAATAATCATTGTAACATTTGCTAGTTAGCACTAAACACAGTACAGCTGAGGCTTGATTAGTTTTGAAGATATTTGGTCATAAACCAAAATTGAATTTTGATGAGGGCATTACGAAAAGGGAAGGGCAAAATAAAGTTATTACAATTCATCCTGAGGGACAAATTCATGTCTGCACCAAATGGTTCGCAAATGCATCTATTTGAGATTCAGGTATTTGACTTAATTAGTGAAATGTTGTCCTGCTGGGGGCATTACAGAGAGTCAAGGGATCACCAATGTCAGTAGGATTTGTCCTCTTGGCAACGAATGAATGTCTGCACAAAATTGCATGCCAATCGATTTTTATGGACGTGGAGAAATTCCAGTCTGGAACAAAGTAGTAGATCGACCAACAGACCTACATTGTCCCATGAGTCAATCAATAACAATCATGCCGATTTTAGTAACAATGCAAAAACGATGGTGAAGATATGATAAAGTGAATGCAGAAATGTTTTGACTACAGCAGGAATAGGAAGGACTGATTCATGTTTTTACTCCTTACAAGCAAAGCTTCATTTCTCAGCAGCTGAGCCTGAGCTGTTTGGCATCTTAAGTTGATAAATCAAGTTTCTCTGGCGTGAGACGAAAGGAGGACAAGCTGATTACATAAAAAATCCGTCCAAACTACAAATCAACTGGTGTCACAATATTTGTATCATTACCCAGGGACTGTAACAGGCCAATGCTGTCAGTACAGTCAAGTTTTTTACAAGGGCTTTAATGATCTGTGTTCAGGGGCTGCATCAGAGAAGATAAACAGCCATCGGGGCGCTGTTCTGCATTTAGTTAGTATTGAAGCCTTGAGTAGTTTCTTAATGAATAATCAATCATAGTTACATAATGCCGAGTTCACATCGGCTGTGGTGCCTTGAACATAAAATGTCAATAAAAGGGAAATCAGCTCTGCTTATACCATCTATAGACTGTAAACGAACAGTGGAAGTAGATTAAACGTGGCAAACATTTCTTCCAAGCTCCCATAAATCAACAATTTTCTTGAATTCTTAAGCAGAAAGATCACAACCTGACCCAATATTTGGTGTACTTTGTGATGATTTGAGCTCATTCAAATGTATTTAAGAATATGCACCATGTAAGCACAGGAGAAATAGCTTAAGGTGATATTGAAAACACCATCAATCTTCTTTTTAAAGACAATTTTCTACTCTTATGTAGTCCTTATTATCCAAGCAATGTTGTTGTGTGTTTTCACCAGTAGAGATACTGTAAGCCTTCAGTGTGGCTGATAAAAACAAGTAGATTATTATTGAATTTATATTCTTCTACACTAGCAACCCATTTGTTGGTGTTGGGAACTCAATTAAAAGCTTTTGCAGCCCTGGACATCGAGGGCCAGTTGGTAATCCAGCTTTCAGAGGAGGACACCAGCAGAGACACATGAAGAGTTGAATACTGGCACCACGAGAAGCAGCAGCTTGTGTGTTACCTCTGCACCCCTTTTCCAAAAAGGAAGTACAATAACCTTTCCTCTATAATCATCTGAACTCTGAACCACGCACACACACACACACACACACACACACACACACACACACACACACACACACACACACACACACACACACACACACACACACACACACACACACTTGTTCTTAATTACTTCAGCACTTTACTCATGTCTTGAGTGTGTGAACAATTCTCTCCAAGAAAGAAGAGAAGAGCGCGACAGAGAGAGAGAGCAGAGAGAGAGAGAGAGAGAGAGAGAAGTAGAGAGAGAGAGTAGAGAGCAGAGAGAGAGCATAGAGAGAAGCAGAGAGACCGAGGAAGAGAAGGAGAAGAGGAGGAGCGCGAGGAGAGCGAGAGAGATGAGAGAGAGGCAGAGCGAGAGAGAGCAGAGAGGAGAGAGAGGACGAGCAGAGATGAGAGAGAGCAGAGGCGAGAGAGAGAGAGAGAGCCGAGATAGAGAGAGCGAGAGATAGAGGAGAGAATCTATCTGCGTCGTCTCGATCTCTCTAGAGAGAGAGCTAGCTCTTCTCTCTCTATCTTCGTCTCTACTCTCTCCTCTCTCTCTCTCGCTCTCTCTCTCTCTCTCTCTCTCTTCTCTCTCTCTCTCTGTCTCCTCCTCTCTTCTTGCCCCCTTCATACTCCGTCCATATTTTTGTCCTCCCTCACTCAACTCCTGAAGTACATTTAAACTACCAAACCCACCCGACAGATTACATGCTTGTATAAAAGATCATTTGTATATAGTCTCGGATTATAACTATTGGGTTTGGAGAACAACAACGTGCCCAGCACCCGCATCCAAACACACAACGTATTGACATTAACACGACTGTCCTTACCTCTGTAGTATTATTGGAGAGGCTATGAATTTGTGGTCAGAGCAGAGAGTGCAATTAAACACGCATGAGACCCCTCTTATGTCTTAATTTAATTCTCCTACAGTCAACATATCACAGAGCAATAATAAAAGTGTCCATTATCTGATGAGGCAAAGAGCTGACATTTAATCAAGAGGAAAAACACATTTCTCAGAAAAACATATTTACGAAATGTCCTGTCACATTGATAAACTAAAATGTCAACTGTGAGCATGTGGCCATTATCTTAAATCAACTATCTTCTGCTTTAATCTGCCAATCTCCTGTACGATTAACTTTCTGCCTGATGCAGGGACACAGGAAGTACAGGAATAAGACCAGAAAAAGCTTTCAAAAGAACAATGCTTTCACCAGTGGTTCTGCAGATATAACTCCCCTAGTGTACTAGTTGATAAAAGTGAAGCAGTCTCACTGTCATTTCTTCTTCACTGTCCTCAATACAATGTCACAGCACAATAAGTAGAGCTCTCAATGGGTGCAATTTGTGCAGCCAATCAATCGTCAGATTGTCAGGGGATGATAATCCAGGGTTGTGAGTGTTTTTCTTCCTTCAGATGACAGAGGGGAATAAAAGATCCTCACCCCTAGTCCTTTCTCCTTGTCCAAAAAATGGAGTAACAAGCAGATGTGCCGAGGGTTTCTGCAAAATAAACAGGCCACAAGTGGACCAATGTTTTCCTTTCATGGGCAGCAGTGATCGAAGCAGAGAGGCCACAGACGGATCACAAAAGATGAAAAAAGTAAGTATCAACATAATTTTGATATTTACCATAAAAAGCGTGACCACATCACCCCAATCTGGCCTCATTGCACTGGCTTCCAGTTCGGTTCAGAATAAGATTTTAAACTCCTTTTATTTGTTTTCAAAGCCCTAAATGGGCTGGCTCCGGCCTATATAGCCGAACTCCTCCATCGCTACACCCCAGCCAGAGCCTTAAGGTCGGCTGATCAGCTGCTGCTGATCGTGCCTAAGACCAGGCTTAAAACCCGAGGGCACCGAGCATTCGTAGCCCCAGGCTCTGGAATTTTAAATCGACACTTAAAACTCATTTCTTCTCTCTGGCCTTCTAGCCTTCTCTTATCAAGCTCCACTTTTGTGGAATTCGGCTTCCGGTTTGTGTTCGGGCGGCCGATAGCCTATCCGTTTTATTGGTACGCTTATGACCTTCCTTTTTGATAAAGCTTATACAGTAGCTGATATAATAATCTAATAAGACTGCATTGACGTAGATACGCTGTGCATCTTCACCTATATTTGGGTCCTTGCTCTTTCACTTAAATCCTAAAAACTTGGATCGTATATTGAAAAATAAGGTTATTACTACTACTCATTCTTCTAAATCTTGTCTCTCTCTACTTCTCATACTCTCTACTCCTGTAATCGATTCTTTCTATCCTCTCTTTATCCAAAACCTTTTCCCTCTCTAACCTCTCGAGGGAAACAGGTTTGCAGAGTGGCTTAGGCAGGCCGGGGAGTGTTACGATTCGTAGACACAGCGTACCTCCCTGTCTCTCACCAATTTCCAACTAAGGCTCCAGTGGGGACTTTGTTCCCTGTGTGTGCCTCTCCACCTCTGTGTCTTACTCTCTTACATGCTACCCTTTTCCCTTAACCTATCCTAAGGGAGTGCTTGTTGTTCCTTCTGTCTGTCTGTGTCTATGTATTCTCATGTTCCGATTAACCCAGCCACATTTTTCTTCTTTTGTGTCTATATCGACGCCGGGATCCGGAGTCGAAGCTGATCCTCTTCCTGTGGTCCTGTGCCCTGGATCCTCTATCCTGGATTAAGTCGTGGACTTCGGGTCGTGGCTGGGCCTGTCTCTGCGGTCCTGCCTGGCTCTCGTCATGCTGCTTCCCTGAAGGCTCCCACAGGATTGTTCTCGTGGATTCATCTTCTTATTATAGACACATGCATTTCCTAACATTCGGTCTACCTACGCTGTCAAACGTATTATCTCTTCGATTTACACACAGCATCTATTGCACGCCTGTCCGTCCTGGGAGAGGGATCCCTCCTCTGTTGCTCTCCCCGCAGTTTCTCCCATTTTTTCCTTTAAACTGTGGGTTTTTCTCCAGAAGTTTTTCCTTGTACGATGTGAGGGTCTAAGGACAGAGGGTGTCATTTTTCCTCATACTGATATTCTGATCAAACTGTGCTGTTGTATTAGCTGTATAATGTCTTTACTGTAGGGTATTTTTATTATTTGTACAGCACTTTGGCTCGACCACAAATCGTTTATAAATGTGCTATATAAATAAAACTTGATTTGATTTGATCATTTGTATGCGTGTTCTCTTTATTTCTAACCTAATTTCTCTGAAAATGCTTTCAACT